TTGGATTGCTCAAATCAGTATTACTCCTGGCTCCATCCTCATGTCACCCATATCCATTCAGTCATCAAGTTTTATGAATTTACCTTGTACATATATCTCAAATCTATTCACTTCTTCCCTTTTTATTACCATAGTTCAAGCCACGTTTATCTCCTCTCAGTTGTATTACTGTCATAGCTTCCTAAACTGGTCTCCCACCCATCAGTGCCATCCATTTCTAATTGTTTTTACACTGTTCAGGTAATTTTCCTAAAACAGAATTGTTGCTGTTCTGAAAGACATTCAGTGGCTGTCCTTGGCTTTCAAAGTAAAATCTAAATTCTTTGAAGTGTTTATGGCACCCTTCATGATCTGGCCCCTGCTACAAGATACAGCCATATGGAGTGACTTGTAGTTCCTTGAGACCTGTACTGGAGGTGAGCACCATTAGGTCTTGACACACACTAACTCCCAGTTTTCATTCATCTCAGCTTGGACTTTCTTCAAAAAATCTTCACTAATACCCCAGTATCATCTAATATTGTTTAGATATTCTTGTGTATTTCCATAGTACTTTCTGCTTATCCCTATTACAGCATGTGACATACTGTATTTTTATTGCCTGTTTAGTTGTCTGTATCTCTCCTAAATTCCTGGAGGGCAAATACAATATTCTATTTGGTTGCTCCGTTTCTCCCCCCCCCTTTTTACAGTTGTCAGCAACTTTGGAGCTCCTTTCTTCAGGTCCATTTCCTTCCTTCTTCCTTCTTTCCTTCCTCCCCCCGCTTTCTTTCAATTAAAATTGTATTTATTTTTCAACTTATTTAGACATTAAAAACAAAAAACAGTTTATCCATTTCTCCTACCACCCACCTGCCCCCTGCCTGTAGCAACTATCAATCTGTTCTCTGTATTTATGAGTTTGGTTTTCAGGAGTTGTTTTGTTTTTATAAGCTTTGGATTTTTTTGTTTTTGTTGTTTTAGATTCCACATGTAAGAGAAATCATACAGTGGTTGTCTTTCTTCATCTGACTTACTTCACTTAGCATTAATGCCCTCAAGATTTACCCATGTTATCACAAATGGCAAGATTTCATTCTTTTTTATGACTGAATAATATTCCATTGTGTGTATATACCACAGTTTCTTTATCCATTCATCAGTCAGTGGACACAGGTTGTTTCCTATATGGCTGTTGTAAATAATGCTGCAGTGAACATTGGGCGGGGGAGATATGTATGTCTTCTTGTGTTAGTGTTTTTGTTTTCTTCAGATAATAGCCAGAAGTGAAATTGTTGGATCATATAGTAGTTCTGCTTTTAGTTTTTTAAGGAACCTCCATACTCTTTTCTGTAGTGACTGTACCAGTTTATATTCCCACCAGAAATGCACAAGGGGTCCCTTTTCACTACATCCTCACCAACACTTGTTATTTCTAGTTTTTTAATAGGCATTCTAACAGGTATGAGTGATACCTCGTTGTGGGGTGTTTTGTTTTGTTTTGTTTTTTTTTAAAGATTTCCTTATTTTAGAGAGAGCAAGCAAGCAGGGGGAGGGGGAGAGGGAGAGAATTTCAAGCACATTTCTTGCTGAGTGCAGAGTACAACAGGGGACTCTATCGCATGACCCTGAGAACATGACTTGAGCCGAAATCAAGAGTCCGACGCTTAACTAACTGAGCCACCTGGGTGCCCCCCTCATGTGGTTTTGATTTGCATCCCCTAATGATTAATGATGTTAACATCTTTTCATGTACCTGTTGGCCTTAGTATGTGTTTGGGAAAATGTCTATTTTAATCTTCTGCCCAATTTTGAACTGGATTGGGTTTCGTTTTTATTTTGCTGTTCAGTTGTAGGAGTTCTTTATACATTTTGTATATTAGCCTTTTATCAGATACATGATTTGCAAATATTTTCTTCCATTCAATAGGTTGCCTTCTCATTTTGTTGATAGTTCCCTTTGCTGTGTAGAAGCTTTTTAGTTTGAGGTAGTCCCACTTGCTTATTTTTGCTTTTGTTGTGTTTGGTTTTGGTGTCAGATTCAAAAAAATCATTGCCAAGACCTGTGTCAAGGAGTTTACTACCTATGTTTTCTTCTAGGAGTTTTAATGTTTTTAATGCATTTTGAGTTTATTTTTGTGTATAGTGTAAGATAATGGTCCAGTATCATTCTTTTGCATATAGGCTGTCTAGTTTTTCCAGCATCATTTATTGAAGACACTGTCCTTTCCCCATTTTATATTCTTGGCTCCTTTGTCATAAATTAATTGGCCTTATAGGTGTGGGTTTATTTCTGGGCCTTCTGTTGATCTTTGTGTCTTTTTACTGACAATACAATAAAGTTTGAAATCAGGGAGCGTGGTGCCTTCAGCTTTGTTCCCCTCTCTCAAGAATCAGGCAGGGGCTTTTATGCTTCCATATAAATTTTAGAGTTGTTTGTTCTATTTCCATGAAAAATGCCATTGAGTTTATGAGAGGGATTGCATTGAATTTATATATTGCTTTGGGTAGTATGGACACTTTAACAATATTAATTTTTCCAGTCCACGAGCACAGAATATCTTTGCATTTATTTGTGTTTTCTTCAGTTTTTTTCATTAATGTCTTACGGTTTTCAATATACAGGTCTTTTACCTCCGTGGTTAAATTTATTCCTGGGTATTTTATACTTTTTGATGCTTTTGTAAATTGGACTTTTTTTTTTTATTTCTTTTTTAAGATTTATTTATTTTAGAGAGCATGAGCGGGAGGGGCAGAGGGAGAGGGAGGGAGAGTCTCAAGCAGGCCCACGCTGAGCATGGAGTCTTACACAGCTCTCGATCCCACAACCCCAAGATGTTTCTTCTTTTTTCTTTTTTTTTATTTTGTAATAGTTCATTCTTCATGTATGCAGCAGCTTTTTGTGTATTGATTTTGGATCCTGCAACTCTACTGAATTCTAACAGTTTTTTATGGCTTTATGGTCTTCTATATATTACATAATGTCATCTGTAAATAGTGACAGCTTTACTTCTTCCTTTCCAATTTCGGTACCTTTATTTGTCCTGCCTAATTGCTCTGGCTTGGATTTCCAATACTGGGTTGAATAAAAGTGGCAGGAGTGAGCTACTGGTTTTGTTCCTGGTTTTAGAGGAAGAGCTTTTAGCTTTTTACCCTTGAGTATGTTAGCTGTGGGCTTGTCCTCTATGGCCTTTACTGTGTTGAAGTATGTTCCCTCTATACCCACACTGTTGAGAGTTTTTATCGTAAATGGATGTTGAATTTTGTCAGATGCTCTTGCTGCATCTGTTGAGACAATCATCTGATTTTTATCCTTTGTTAATGTTACATCTCATTGACTAATGTGCAGCTGTTGAGCCATCTTGCATCCCTGGAATAAATCCCACTTGATCGTGGTGTATGATCCTTTTAATGTATTGTTGAATTCAGTTTGCTGATCTTCTGTTGAGGATTTTTACATTTAGGCCTGTAATTTTCTTTTCTTGTGGCCCTTACCTTGTTTTGCTATTAGAGTAATGTTTGCTATCGGGGTAATGTAAGATGAGTTTGGAAGAGTTTTCTCGTCCTCTTTTTTGAAAGAGCTTGAGAAGGACTCATATTAATTCTTCTTTGAATGCTTGGTAGAACATAACAAGAACCCATCATAAACGGAAGGAGACCTATCAGTATACTGCCTTTATAAGAGACTCGTTTTCCAAAATAGATCGTATGTCAGGCCACAAAACAAGTCTTAATAAATTTAAGAGGATTGAAATCATATCAGGCATCTTTTCCAACCACAATAGTATGAAACTAGAAAATTAATTATACAAAAAGACTGGAGAATTCATGAATTTGTGGATATTAAACAGTATGCTGCTGAACAACCAGTGGATCAAAAGAAATCAAAAAATACCTTGAAACATGAAAATGGAAATATGACAAATTTATGGGATGCAGCAAGAACAGTTAAAAGAGGGAAGTTTGTGGCAATAAATGCCTACCTCAAGAAACGAGAAGTCCAGGGGCACCTGGGTTGCTCAGTCATTAAGCATCTGCCTTCAGATCAGGTCACGATCCCAGAGTCCTGGGATCGAGCCCCGCGTCGGGCTCCCTGCTCAGCGGGAAGCCTGCTTCTCCCTTTCCCACTCCCCCTGCTCATGTTCCCTCTCTTGCTGTCTCTTTCTGTCAAAAAATAAATAAAATCTTCAAAAAAAAAAAAGTCTAAAACAACTTTATACCTCAAGGAACTGAAAAAACAACAGATGAGTTAGTACAAGGAAGGAAATAACAAAGATTAGAGCAGAAATTAATAAAATAGAGACTAAAAAGACAATAGAAAAGATTAAGGAAACTAAGAACTTGCTTCTTTGAAAAGATAAAATTGTCAGACTTTTAGCTAGACTCAACAAGACAAAAGGAGAGATGGCTCAAATAAAATCAAAAATGAAAGAGGAAATACTACAACTGATAGCACAGAAATACAAAGGATTAGAAGAGATTTTCTTGTTATAAGGATTGGAAGAGGGGCACCTGGGTGGCTCAGTCGTTAAGCGTCTGCCTTCGGCTCAGGTCATGGTCCCAGGGTCCTGGGATCGAGCCCCACATTGGGCTCCCTGCTCAGCAGGAAGCCTGCTTCTCCCTCTCCCACTCCCCCTGCTTGTGTTCCCTCTCTCGCTGTGTCTCTCTCTGTCAAATAAATAAAATCTTTAAAAAAAAAAAAAAAGATTGGAAGAGATTAGAATACAGTTACTTGCCAACAAATTGGACAACCTTAGAAGAAATGGATAAATTCCTAGAAATATACAACCTACCAAGACTGAATCATGATGAAGTAGAAAATCTGAACAGATGAATTACTGGTAAGGAGGTTGAATCAGTAATCAAAAAACTCCCAACAAGGGCCTTCACTCACTTGCTTCTCAGTGCCTGCTCCCTGTGGCCCTGAGGGCCTGTGGGCCAGAGGCGGCCCCAAAGAGTTGGAGGCGAAGGGGAAGCAGGTGTGCAGGTCTAAGTGTCACAGTGGCGCACTCTTAGGCGAGAATTGGGAGGAGGAGGAGACTGCAAGGATAGGCCCAGGAGCAATGGCATCCAAAGAGGAACAAGCAGTAAAAAATCTCAACATGGAGAATGCCAAAGAGAAGGATGAAAAGGAGCAAGTTGCTAATAAAGGAGAGCCCTTGGCCCTCCCTTTGGAAGCTGGTGAATATTGTGTGCCTAGAGTAAATCATAGGTGGTTCTGTGTTAGGCAGCCCATCCTGCAGTATAGGTGGGACATGATTCAGAGGCTTGGAGAACCACAGGCAAGGATGAGAGAGGAGAATATGGAAAGGATTGGGGAGGAGATGAGACAGCTGATGGAAAAGTTGAGGGAAAAGCAATTCAGTCATAGTCTGTGGGCAGTTAGCACTGACCCTCCTCACCATGACCATCATGCAGAGTTTTGTCTTATGCCTTGAATCTTGATGTTTTCCCTGAAGTTAATAGGAAGACACACCTTCCTAAACTTAATGTTCTCAATGTACCTTTGTTGTAAACCTTTTGGTGTTACATGTCTCTTGTGGGTCTCCTATGACCAGCTTCTAATTGAATGTTGTATTTTGACCCAGAATGTAAGATTCTGTCAGCAGGGGAGTTTTACCCTATTGCATGGCAAGATGTTCATTATATATTGTGAAGTTAATAAAGCAGTTTAAAAGAAAAAGAGGGGGCACCTGGGTGGCTCAGTTGTTAAGCGTCTGCCTTCAGCTCAGGTCATGATCCCGGGGTCCTGGGATTGAGCCCCGCATCGGGCTCCCTGCTCAGCGGGAGGCCTGCTTCTCCCTCTCCCACTCCCCCTGCTTCTGTTCCCTCTCTTGGCTGTCTCTCTCTCTGTCAAAGAAATAAATAAAATCTTTAAAAAAAAGAAAAAAAAAAAAACTTCCAACAAAAGTTCAGATCAGACTGCTCCACTGGTGGATTCTTCTAAACATTCAAAGAATTAATGGTTGCTCTGTTTCACCAGTAATTCACATCGTGCATGGCACATTCATTCAGTCTTCATTTATTCAGCAAATATTTGTTGAACATACTTTATGTCAGGCAGTTTATTTAATTTTTTTTAAAGATTTATTTTTTATTTGAGAGAGAGCATGAGCGGGGCGGGGGGGAGGCTGCAGAGGGAAAGAATCTCAAGCAGACTCCCCACTGAGAGCACAGAGCCTGAAGTGGGGCTCCACTCAGGGCTGGATTTCACTACCCTGACATCATGACTTGAGTCGAAATCAAGAGTTGGACATTTAACCTACTGAGCCACCCAGGTGCCCCTGTCAGTCCATTTAGAATGAATTGGTCTAAATTTTTTCTTTTGAAATGAAGTCCTGTTTGAGTTTCCAGTAAGTTTTTATAGTATAAAAGAAGTGGCTTCTAAAGATTATTATTCAGTGGTCAACATAAAAATATATTTTCTTTGACCAGTCTTAGATAATCCCTATAGTTGATATTGTGGAAGTTTAGCAGAAGTGTATGTATGTGTATAAATAATAACAATACATTAATGGAAGTATATAATGGTATCTTGAATAATTATATTTTTTAAAGTTTGTAAGTATATAATTAGAAACACCTGATTATAGCAAGCCATGCTTTTAAAAAGCAGTGTTTTATTATGACTCTATTTCTGGACTCCCTACCTTAAAATATTTAAGAAAAAAAATTTAAGTAAAATATTTAAGTTTTAAGTAAAATATTTAAGTTAAAAAACATTTAAAATGAATTTTATCTTCATTTCAGTTTATTCATTGGATTTTTTTAGTAGTTGGAAAAGCTGTGGTAGTTCCCAACTGTGTTAGAAACAGTTGTCAAGTGTGGTTCTTTACAACGTGAGACTGGGAGCTGTTTCTAAACACACAGTTACTAGCACAGATTTGCTTAAGTTTCCAATCTGATCTGTGGCTATGGGTAAGTAATGTGGAATATATATAATATTTATGAGTGAAAGAAATTACTGTAAATTAAATTCCATAACTCTAACTTCAGGTTACTGTATAACCTAAAGGACTTTGAACGCCAGCCAAGCAGTAGTAGTTTTTTGTTAGGATTTAAAATGGTTAAGGATATAAAAATTAAGATGTTCTTCTAGTTTCAGAATATATAGACTTAAATCTCTTCTTTTCAGTCGTATTTAATACCAAGGATTTCAAAGATTATTTTTTAGTTAAAGAAGTGTGCTTATTTTCCAGACAGCTTTACTTAAACCTTGGCTCCTATTAATAGTGAAGACTCTGGTATATTTGTATACGGTTTACAGTAAAATCTAAAAATTACAAAATGAAAATTAATGTGTGTATGTGTATAGCATCCTTTTAAATTGTATGGTACTATTAATCTTTTAGAGCACTGAAAAGGGTTTTTTGTTGTTTTTAAGATTTTACTTTTGAGTAACTCTGTACCCAACATGGGGCTCAAACTCACAACCCCGAGATTAAGAGTTATGTGGTCTACCGACTGAGCCAGCCAGGGACGCTAGAGCACGGATAAGGTCTTAATAAAAGTGTGTGTGTGTGTGTGTGTGTGTGTGTCACTGATTTTTTAAAATATAGCTACTAGAATATTAAAAATTAAATTAAAAATTACATATGTAGGGGTGCCTGGCTGGCTCAGTTGGAGGAACATGTAACACTTTTTTCTTATATATATATGTGTGTTTCAAAGAGCATTTATTATTTATTTATTTATTTATTTTTTAATTGTATTTATTTGTCAGAGAGTAGAGCAAGAGAGCACAAGCAGAGGTAGGGGCAGAGGGAGAAGCAGGCTCCCTGCTCAGTAAGGAGCCAGATGCGGGGCTCATTCCCGGACCCTGAGATCATGACCTGAGCCAGAGGCAGACACTTAACCGACTGAGCCACCCAGGCGTCCTGAAGAGCATGTGACACTTGATCTCAGGGTTATGAGTTCCAGCCCTACATTGGGTGTAGAGATTACTAAAAAAATAAATAACTTTTAAAAATTACATAAATGGATCACATTCTATTTCTACTTAGACATCTCTGGCTGAGTATTTCCTAACTGAAAATTACGTTTTCTGTAAGTTATAGTTGAAATTGAGCATTTTTGGCATTGAGAATTATTTTTTTTATTAGTCTTAGATTACAGCTTGCTAAATACTGGCATTCTAATATTAGATATAAAGGTGAAACTATAAAGTTAAAAAAATTTAACAAAATGTTATTTTGAGGGCTTGCTTTTAGACTGTTGTAAGAACAAACCAATAACTAATATTTTATGATTCTGGATTGGAGCTAGTTTGGCAGTTACATTAACTATTCATTTTATTCATTGTGTCTTTTATTTATTTAACAAATTTTTTTTGTCATTTGCTTCGTATGTGCCAAATCTATCTTGGGGAATGCTTCTCCATAATTTTAGGAGGGAACAAAAAATAATGGATGTGCATGTTAAGTAAGTTCATAGAGTTGGATGTAAAAAGAAATGAAGCAGTTCCTGTCCAGGTTTTTGTTTTCTGTAAAGTAGTATGTAAGATCATCATAGTTCACCACTAGTAATGGTTTCTGGGAAAAATTCCTTGAATTGAATAAAACTAAAGTATACTCCATAGATGTGTATCAACATTTATTGAGTACTTACTGGACAACAAAGTAGAAACCGAGGAAGAATATAAACAAGAGGCCTTGGGGCACTGGAGTGGCTCAGTTGGTTAAGCATTCAACTCTTGATTTCGGCTCAGGTCATGATATCAGGGTCCTGGGATTGAGCCCTGTGTAGAGCCCCATGCCAGACTCCGTGTTCAGCAGGGAGTCGGCTTGAGATTCTCTCCATCTCCCTCTGCCCCTCCTTTGCGCTCGCTCGCTCTCTCTCTCAAATAAATAAATCGTAAAAAAAGAGAGAGAGAGAGACGCCTTTGCCCTCAGAGCTTATATTTTTGTTAGGAAAATATGGCATAAGCGAAAAATAAATAACAACAAAAGACAGCTATGACATATATGGTCCTTATCCAGTACTGCAGATTCTTATACAATTCTACAGGAATTCAAAAAATGAAGAGAACACTAATGACTAGAGTGTTTTTTTTAAAATCCTTCTCCTTTGCTTATTATAATAGTGGCCAAGTGATCTTTTCAGAATGACCCCTTTTTAAATACCTTCTAGCACTGTAACTTAAAACAGTCAGTGATAACTTATTATGAGAACTATGTAGAAATTTAGCCCAGATTCTTTACCTCAGCACAAGTAAGAATTTAATACATTTCTTCTAGAACTGAGCTTTGAGTGCTTTAGAACAGGACAGTGTTTACAAATGGGAAGTTGAGGTTACGATGGCATTACACAATTCAAATTATGTAGCTTCATGTATTTGTTTGATGTGAACTTCAGGTTGCAGCTGAGTTAACTAACACCTTTTCTTTCCATTAGTACCTCTGAATTCCTTACTTTTCAGTCTTTAATATTTGTTGTGTTCATGGTGAGAAGGAAAGGATTCTGGACTGGATGGTGAGGTGTAGGTGTCTGTAATAATAAGATACGTAGATTTTAAATAGGGATGGGAGTGGGGTGAGAGAGAGGGTTGTATAGGATGAAGAGTTTTGAGAACGTACTTCTGAGTGTTACAGAAACTGGTACCAGTATTATAAACCAAGCTGCTAGAGATAATCATCCCCACATGCATACACACTACAAATATACGGAAATGTAACACAAAACAAGAGCAAAACTGTAAGTGCATAGCTAAGCCCTAAAGAAGGAAAGAAGAGAAGGAAACCAGAAATGAGAGAAGTCAAATCAAAGCAGTAAGTGGGAGTTGGTGCTGCTGCATAAAATAGCACAGGGACCTTTTGGTCCTGGGGTATATCTCCTAAGGACCTGGGGTGGAATTTGGTGTGTATATGGGGATGGGAGATATGTGGCCTTGGACCTTTTCAAAATAGAACTAGCACTAAGACCCAGGCCTATGGCCTAGGACCTGAAACAGCTTCCGAAATTGTGCAAAAATTTTAAGTGACCAGTGATAATCTAAAAAAGAATATAAAGGGACGCCTGTGTGGCTCGGTTAAGCGGCTGCCTTCAGCTCAGATCATGATCTTAAGGTCCTGGGAATGAGTCCCACATCAGACTCCTTGCTCAAGGTGGAGCCTGCTTCCCCTCTGCTTGCCTCTCCCCCTGCTTGTGTTCTCTGTCTCTCTCTGACAAATAAATAAATAAAATCTTTAAAAAATATATAAGAATATAAAGTAAGCGTGTGTAAAATTTTAAAAGGATAAAAAAAGGGAGATGAGGCACGGTGATGTAATAGGCCTATTTTAAAAAGAAAGAGTGGGGCGCCTGGGTGGCTCAGTCGTTAGGTGTCTGCCTTCAGCTCAGGTCATGATCCCAGGGTCCTGGGATTGAGCCCCACATCAGGCTCCCTGCTCAGCTGGAAGCCTGCTTCTCCCTCTCCCAGTCCCCCTGCTTGTGTTTCCTCTCTCGCTGTCTCTCTCTGTCAAATAAACAAACAAAAATC